AAAGGCAAACCTAGCAGGAATAGACACATTTCTAGATATATGATGTTACTTTTCAATAATGAAAAAATGTTTCCCTTTATTTTGTGAAGGATATATATGCATATATATTTATATATACAAAAATATCTTTTACCAATTTCAGGAGGGAAAACTTATAGATAGATACAATGATTTGGAAATAGTTGATTAGATGACAATAATTCTTTTCTTATTTAAAGACTTTTTTGCAGTGTTTCACAGTTCATATATTGTGCAACAGAATGATGAATAGCATATTTAAAGTTAAAATGAAGGCAAATTAAATTATAAATATATATATAAATTATGAATAAATATATGACACATTTCATATGTATAAGTGAAATACATATTTACATGTATTCATGATATGTACATATAATATACATTCTAGCTAATGTACCTGACAATTTAAAATTAACAGTCCTTCAACACACCTAAGCAATAAATACTAATAACAGACTGTCCAACTTTTCATAATTTGCTGAATTAACTTAGTCTTTTAATAAAAGGAGAAATGTTCCGGCTTCAAATGAACACAGCCATGTATACATAATACAAAAAGATCTTTTATTTATTTATTTATTCTCTTTTCTTTTTTTCTCTCTTTCTTTTAATTGTGAGAATACCATACAGAGGAGTTACAATTACATGGGCAAGATGATGAGTACATTTCTTATCAAGCATTGTTGCCTCCTTGTTGTTTCCCCTTCCCATCCCTTTCCATACTCCTCCCCTCCCCCACCTGATCTTCCCCCTATCCCCACCAAAGATGTTAAGTTTGTTTTTCAACATGACTTGTACATCTCATTGTTGCAATGGGTCCATCTGTATCCCTAGTTAAAGGATTTGTTTTTTTCTCTTCCTCTCCACAAATTATACCAACATCAAAAACAGTGAAAGTATGGGTTATACTGTGGGGGAGGGACATACAAAGCAACATAGAAATCATCTTATAAATGTGATAGAAACAATTGCAAGAAAGGAAAAAAACTCTTCGTAAAGGTTATAAAGCTGTACTAACTCTAAATAGATGAAGTCATAATCAAGCAATATGCTCAAATTGATTTTCTATGAAATCATCTGTCAGAGCATTATTTACAATACGTTTTCATAACATAAGAAGGTAATTAAGATTTTATTTTTTACATTTCTCTTTGCAAATAATCAGAGCTCTAATTTATATGCAAACATATGTTTGCATATATGTATCAGGCATCTGCTTCTCCTTCTCTTTCTCCTTTACTTTCTCACACACAAGTACCTCTACTGGTACTTGCAAATGCTGGACCAAGAATATTGAGAAACTTTTAGATCTTTTCATTTAAAATGTGTGTTCTTACATCCAAATCCTCTGAGAACCCATTCTGGATATTTAGTCTGAATTTTTTTCTTCTCTAAGCTTAAACTCTCCCTTTCCAGTTGCCATACCATTTGTCAAAGCATCATACTGACATTATTTGCTCTGACTTTGGACCTGCTGAGTGTGTACAGAAAATAGCAACAGATGATCTAAATTACAAATTCAAGTCAATTAAAAATGAAAATTTTGTATATGCAAACTGGCTGAGAAAACTTTTAAACATTTTTCAATTCATTTAATAAGTCTTAGGAGATTTATTAAAGTATATTAATCAACCCCCCAAAATATAATTTAATAACCTGCCTTCTACTTTAAAATATGAAATGACAGTTGTGATTATTTTGTTATTTATGATTTTGTATTAATCTTTTAGAAACTTTTGAAATACTTATGTTAAATATACACGTTATCCCTCTGCTTCCTAACAACAAAACAGCAATACTTATTTTTCTTTTTTCTTTTTGTGTCCATCCTAGGGCTTGAACTTAGGGCTTGGGCGGTGTCCCATAGTGGCTTTGGCTCAAGGCTGGTGCTCTACAAACAGCTAAATTAGCTAATTGGAAATAAGTTTTTCATAGTCTTTCCTACCTGGGCTGCCTTCAAATCACAATCTTACAGATCTCAGCCTCTTGAGTAGCTAGGATTATAGGCATGAACTAGCAGGGCTCAATAATTCTTTTCATTTTCAAAGACTTCAATATGCAAAAGGCTCAGTGTTCTCTAATCCATATATTCTGAGTCCATAGAAGAAATGAAATGGTGTTTAAGTTATAATGATAATAGCAGGATCTAAAGTTAAGCAATCAGGATGCTGTATATGAAATATGTGAACATATGAGAAAGGTAGCAATAATAAACAAAATAAGAGGCTGATAATACTAAACAGAAGATAGTGAAAATCAACAGGATTGAGAAATAATTTAATAAGACTTTTATTTTACCTACTTTTTTTATAAAAGAAAATCCAAATATGCAGTATTTAATCAAAGCATGTTGAAGATGCTGGTTTTATTTGGTGCCCATGTGGTGTTTAAGTGCATGAACTCTGGGTACTTTCTTTGTACTAGCCCTTGAAGTACCTGTACATAGAACATCTGTGAATCAAGTGGGTTCCTTCTGCCACCTAATTGTTATAGCATCAATGTATGTACTTGCACATCCAGGCTTCTGATTAAACTGAAAGATCACCATTTCTTTATATCCAGTAATTAATGCCCAGACAAACTCTACAAAATGTGCTGAGATATTGACATCTTTAAACTTACAGAATGAAATCAGTGTGAGCACTACAACACTTTCCAAAAGGATACCTAATTTTTCTTTAATAAAAAAATCATTCTTTGCAGCTGTGTACTCATGTTTTGTTTCACTTTGTTTTGTTTCCTCAGCAAAGCAAAATTTACTTCTGCAGAAATCTGACAAGAAAGCACACAGAGAAGGCTGCTTGTATACCTATTTTTCCTGATGCAAGAAGCTATTTATTCTTTGTCTTCACAAAAATTGTAAATACCTTAAAAGTTTTTACTTGCTACAGCTTTCCATCCAGAAAACTGTTTCAAATGTAGTTGTACTCATTTTTGTGAACTTAGTTTGACTATATCTCTTAGATGAATGGATCCATTTTGTTAATTATTAAATTCATGTATCCTTCCTTTGTGCTCATGTTTTCTTTGATCGTTTGAGGTTCTGATTTCACATGAAGATAGGAATCAATTTTTTCTGTGAAGAATATAACTAATTTAAAATGTATTGTGTTAAATCTGTGTTGCATTTTGAATAGTAGGAACATTTTAACAATATGTATTCTTCTATTTCTCTTTTTGTTGTTCCTTCATTAATTTTTCTTCATTACTGTTACATAATTCTAATTGCAGACTTCCTCCCTTCGGTTAAGATTCTTCCTAAATGATAAACTTTCTGAAGCCATTGAAGACCAGATCACCTTTATGATTTTTTATGGATGCAAAAGATAGTGTTTGTTATGTTTGTTAATTTTGTATTCTGTAACTTTACTGGATTATAAGTTTAAATAGATAGCACAAATACCAATTTAACTAAATGTCTACAGGTAAAAATAAGCAGATCATTTTATTCTTTAAAATGTGATTCTCTGTGATCTGTCATAATATTCCATGGAGATAAGATATCTTAAAATTGTTTTCTCCTTTTCACTACTTTTCCAGTTTTCTAGTAGTTAATTGCAGATAAGAGTCTCACGGACTTTTCTGCCCTGGCTGGATTTGAACCATGAGCTTCAGATTTCAGCCTCCTAAGTAGCTAGGATGACAGGCGTGAGCCACTGGTGCCTGGCTTCTTTCACTACTTTTTATGTTTACAGTTTTGATAATCTTCTCAATCAACTGTCCACATCCAAAAAAACTCAAGGCTTGCTGTCCTCTTTATTGACTTCTCTAGATCTTCATGGCAGTACATTGTTAGCCCAAGTATTGTGTAGAAGATGTCTCCAAGCCCAAGCCTATCCTAGGAAAAAATTTCCCATTTAATTTGATGGTGTAGTAAGCAATGATGTTGTTTTAATAGCAGGGAAATAAAAGGTTATATAGGACTGGGAATGTGGCTTCTTGGTAGAGTGCTTGCCTAGCATGCAAAAAGCCTTGGTGGTTTGATTACTTAGTACCACATACACAAAAAAAATAAAATAAAATTTAAAAAATAACAACTAAAAATTAAGTTAAGGAAGTGCAAAGAACTTTTAATTATTTGGGATATCATTATTCTTCATAAGAAGAATTTCCATTTTTTATTTATACAATTAATTCTATAGTCTTTGGAATTCACAGTTAAACAAATCTCTACCTATATATATAAAATTTTATATATGTATATAACCAAATATATACATATATATGCACATATATAATTTTTATATATGCACATATAATATGCCCACATATATAATTTTACTTTGAGGAAGAGCCTAAACAGGACATGGTGCTGTACAATTGTAATCTCAGCATTCATGAGAGCAAGGTAGGATAAGGATGGTTTCAATGCCAGCTTGAGCTACATGCAGAAGTCATGTCACAAAATACTTTTTTAAAGAAACTAACTATATGGCAACAATGCTGGATAAGAAATGTACTCATTACCTTGCTCATGTAACTGTAACCCATTTGTACAGTATTTTCACAATAAAAAACTTAATTAAAAATACTTCTAAAATCTGAATGAATATAAATCACTTGTGACTCAAACCACAAGTGATTTCATTCAGATTCAAACCAATCTAAATGACATACTTCTAGATCGGTGTTTTTTCTTCATTTTGTTTTTAGTGTACATAACAAAAAATCTATTAAAGGAGTGAAATTATTTTCCATGACTTTTTAGTATTTTGGTCAATTTTTATAAGACATAGTCGTCTATTTGAACTACGTATATGGAAAACAGTTAAAACGTTAAACTTTTATCTGAAATGAGACCATATTAGCAAGATGAAAGATGGTATCTCATCAGAATGGTAGAGTTTTGAGTTAGGACTTTGGAGCTCATATTCTAACATCCAGATATTATGTAATCAAAACAAGACTTGTAGATGAAAAAAATCTCTCCGTTTGCTTTTTATTTTTCCCTTTGCTTCATCTAGCTGGTAGAAATGATGGAGGAGAGAAACAGCACCTCAGACTTCATTCTCTTAGGACTATTTAAGTACACACAACTCCACCGCTCTCTCTTCACCATGCTGCTGACAATAGCCATTGCTTCTCTCATTAGCAATGCCATCATGCTTCTTCTGATTCACCAGGACCACCAACTCCACACGCCCATGTACTTCCTCCTCAGCCAGCTCTCCTTCATGGACCTTATGCTCTTTTCCACCATTGTGCCCAAAATGGCCACTGTCTACCTGACTGGCAGGAAGTCCATCTCTCCTGCTGGATGTGGACTGCAGATTTTTGTGTCACTCACTCTGGGTGGTGGAGAGTGCTTCCTCCTGGCAGCCATGTCCTATGACCGTTATGTGGCTGTGTGCCACCCACTGCGATACTCTGTTCTCATGAGCTGGCCATTATGTTTGCAAATGACAATGGGATCTTGGATCCTAGGAGCAGCTGACGGCCTCATACAGGCTGCAGTTACCCTGAGCTTTCCATTTTGCAGTACACACAAAATCAACCATTTCTTTTGTGAGGCCCCTATGCTGGTGCGTTTAGCTTGTGGTGACACTTCATTCTTTGAGAATCTCATGTACATCTGCTGTGTGCTGATGCTTCTGATTCCCCTTTCCCTCATCCTGACTTCCTACGGTCTCATCCTCACTGCTGTGCTCCGCATGCCTTCCACAGATGCCCGCAAGAAGGCCTTTGCCACCTGCTCTTCACACCTGGCCGTGGTGGGCCTATTTTATGGAGCTGCCATTTTCATCTACATGAGACCTACATCTTACAGGTCAACTAATTACGACAAAGTTGTGTCAGTGTTCTACACTATCCTGACTCCCATGTTGAACCCCATCATCTACAGCCTGAGGAACAGTGAGGTCAAAGGTGCTGTGAAAAGGTGGCTGAGAAAATGTTTATATCTAAAGTATGGGCAAAATTAGTCCCATGTTATAAGATGCGTTTACATTCCTGGATTTATAAGTTAAATTGTATTGTAATTTTTCACTTTATGAATGCATGAAGAGAAAGTTAAATTATGTACCCAAAACAAAACTAATGATCACTTACACTGAGATATGATATTTTAAGGACATTTTATTTGCTGTGTTCTATGTTAAGTAAATTTATATCCTATAGTGGTCTTAGATAAAAATACTATAGATATGATCACCAGCTTTCTAGCTGGAAAGTCTCTCATGGCTCTCTACTACTCAGACGCTGTGGTCATGCATTCCATGAAACAATATTCTATATAGTTTCCAAGGATAATATCATCTCTAATTTCAGATTGCAAAAAAATATAAAAATGTTAGGCTAGAGATGATTCCCTAAGCTGGTGTATTTTCTCTGGTAATTTATTTTAGTACTATTTCTTTTTCTTTTTCTTTTTCTTTTTTTGTGATGGCTTTGGGGCTTGAACAAAGTGAGATTTGAACTCCCTGAGATTTTTGTTTGAACTCCCTGAGATTTTGCTCAAGGCTAGTTTTTTTGGGGGGGTGGTTCTGCTCTTGGGGCTTGAACTCTGGGCCTGGGGGCTGTCCCTCAGCTTTTCAGCTCAAGGCTAGCACTCTATCACTTGAGCCACAGCACCACTTCTGGCTTTTTTTTGCTTATGTGGTGCTGAGGAATCGAACCCAGGGCCTCATGCATGCAAGGCAAACGCTCTACCACTGAGCCACCTTCCCAGCCCATTCTTTACCTCTTTTGACACAGCTTTTCCTCTTCTGGCTTTTTGGTAGCAGTAATTGAAACTCTGTGTTTCATGCTGGTTTGGAGCCACAGTTCTTAGACATCAGGTTCCTGATTAGCTAGGATTTTAGACATGAGTTATTGGTGCTCTTGAAAACAAGAGTATTATAAGCATTATTTTTGGAGTTATGAGCATTATCTATGAAATTTTAATAACTACACATTGGAATTTCAACAGAGATAACTAAAAAATATTATTATTTAGTGACAGTTTAATATATCAGTAGATGGTGTCAGTAAAATGGGAGGAAAGAGAAGGTCAGTCACTTCTATAAAACAGGAATTCTTTAACTAGTGGTGATTATGTGTTGACAGTGGAAGCCTCCAGAAACAGATAAAGAGTTGTGAAAAGGGGGATTTTTTATTGATCTCTTCTTCTTTAATGTTTTTTATTGTAAAAATACTGTATAGAGGGATTACAGTTACATGAGTAAAGAGTACATTTCATACTATGTTTCACCAGTATGGAATAATTTTCCAAGAGTTTAATTATGATATTTCAGTATATTCATATAATGTGCATTGATCAAATTTACATCTATTGATCTTTCTTAACTCCTTTCCTCCTCCCTCCTCCCTTCTAGTTTTCATGAGTTTCATTATACTTTTTTCTGTCTATAAAAACGTATTTAAATCATATTCACCTCTGCAACATGCTAGTCTCTATTTTCTACCATCCACTTCTACTTGTTCCTTTCCGTAAAAACCCCTCTTTTAGAATGATCTTATATTACTTTTAGATCTAGGATTTGCAAAAAATATATTTCCTATCTCAATGTGGGCTTATCTTGCTCAAAATGAAGATCTCTAGTTTGGTCCCTCCTATATATGACATAATTTTATTTGTTATGATAGATTACATTTTCTTCCAATTGGTTGTTGGGCATCTACACTGTCTCCGTAGCTTGATTATTGTTAAAAGTGCTGTAATAAATATGAATGTACCAGTATCTCTAATGTGTGCTGACGTATATTTTATTTGGCTATATGTTCAGGGTGGTAAAACTACTTTTACCTGAGATCTCATCTGCCTAAACTCAGCAGTCTAGGCCACACTTTGTCCTTCTCCATAAACACCTCTCAAGACCATAGCATAACATGACTCTCCAACTTTCTTCGTTTCTTTTTTTCTAGCCTTCAGAGTAAGTCAGTCTCAGAGCCAAAGCCAGAAGGCACCTAGCAGAACTCAAGGATTTGTCTAGTCATAGCACAGTGTTCTGTTTCTATGGTGTTCCTCAAACAATGGAACTAGCTTTCACCAGGGAAAGGCATGACTAACGACCACCAGTCTCATCTCCAATTTCCTGCTTCATTTTCTCCATGAGGCAACATCATGACCTTATCTATATTTCCATGAAAATCACCATTTGGCTCATGGCTGTCTCCCTCTCTGACACTGTGGCCAGAGACCATATAAAGTGAGATTATTCCTTGTCAGTCCCCAAAGTAGCTCAATCTCAAGCTCTACCTGGCATGAAATTTCCATATTCAGCTGGTAGGTCCTGGAACTGAGCACTTTGCCAGCCACAGAAGTGTGCTGTTTCCACAGTGATCCTTAGACAATGGAATTTGGTACTTAACACTTCCACTTTCAGCTACTTAACCCTTCCCTTGTCCAGGTTAGATTCCCTCTCTACAATCATCTCTCATGGTTCTCTACTACTCAGACATTGTGGTCATGTGTTCCCAACTCATTAAATCATGACTGTTTCTTCTCCTTTTCGCTCAGTCTTCTACATTAGACTCTAACTTAAGATGGTGTGTCTTACTAGAATTCTCAGGGGTATGAGAAGTAGAAAAATGCCTGTCACACTGAAGGAGTAATTATCCCTCCAAAATGTCATACTGAGTTTAAAGCTTGTATGGATACAAGATGCAGGGCACTGCAATCATTTCTAGGAAATGGAAAGACTTGAAAAAATTATATTAAGTGAAGTAAGCCAAGCCCAAAGAAACATAGGTCCCATAGTTTCCCTTATTTGCAATAACTAGTACCTGTCTAGGACAAGCATAAAAGGTCAAAAGCTATGTACATATGATCATATAAGATGATTTTAAGTGAAATGAACCCCAAGATAAGCACACAAATTTTTTTTCTTTCTTGCCATTGTTTCTAACATATTGATAATGTACTATGTGCTTTTTTTGTTTCTTTGTTTGTTCCTCCCCCACAGCATAACCATGTTTTCACTGTATAAACTCATTTTCATATCTCAAATTCTTTACCCCACTCAATGGAAATATTTATCAAGGAAAATTTGATTTTATATTGTATTATGTTTACTTTTCACAGTACTGTTATAGATTCAGTTGCTCACAGTCAAAACTTGACAGATATAGATTCAGTTGCTCACAGTCAAAACTTGACAGAATCAATAGATTATTCTATGCAGTTTTCTGAGTACTCACCTCTGGCTACCAGGCAATGGCAGTGTGAGGTGTATTGGCATAAAATAAACTGGAAAATCTGAAAGAAGTAGATACATTTTCAGATATAGTTGATCTACCAAAATTGAAACAACAGGCTGTGTGACATTTAAATGGATTTTCCAAAAAAATGAGATATAAGCAGAAATAATCTCTTAACTACAAAAGGAAAAGCCTATGAGAAATTTCTTATTTAAATTTTATGGAATGTGTGTGTGTGCGCGCACACACAAGCCTAACTCCTGTGGATTGAACTGAGTCTGGGCACTTTGTGCTGCTTTTGCTCAAAGCTAGTGCTCTACTACTTGAACCATTCATCTACTTCTATATTTTTGGTGTTTAATTGGAAATAAGAGCCTTGAAGACTTTCTCACTTGAGCTGTCTTGAACCATGAGCCTCAGTTTCTGCCTTGTGAGTAGCTAGGATTACAGGCTTAAGTCACCAGTGTCTAACTTGTAACACATTTTTTGGGGGGAGGGGCAGTCTTGGGGGGCTGAACTCTGGGCCTGGGCATTGTCCCTCAGCTCTTCACTCAAGACTAGCTCCCTACCACTTGAGCCACAGCACCACTTCCGACCTTTTATGTTTATGTGTTGCTGAGGAATCGAACTGAGGGCATGCAAGGTAAGCACTCTACCACTGAGCCAACCTCCCAACCCTTGTAACATTTAAAGAAGAATTAATAAAACATTCCTCAAACTCTTTTATGAAATGGAAAGGGAGAGAACACTACAAAATTTATTCTCTGGCCCGGGCGCCAGTGTCTCATGCCTGTAATCCTAGCTATTCAGGAGGTGAGATCTGAGGATAGTGGTTCAAAGCCAGTCCAGGCAGGAAAGTCCTTGAGACTCTTTTATTTATTTACTTATTTATTTATTTATTGGGGGGTCCGGTGGTGGGGCCTGAACTCTGGGCCTGGGCGCTGTCCCTCAACTCTTTAGCTCAAGGCTAGCGCTGTACCACTTGAGGTACAGCACTACTTCCGGCTTTTTTCTTTTTGCTTATGTGGTACTGAGGAACCAAACCCAGGGCCTCATGCATGCAAGGCAAGCGCTCTACCACTAAGCCACCTTCCCAGCCCCCGTGAGACTCTTATTTCCAATAAACCACTAGAAAAAAAACCAGGATTGGTGCTGTGGCTCAAGCGGTAGAGAGCTCCCCTTGAGCTGAAGAGTGCAGGAACAGTGCTCAAGCCCAGAGTTCAAGGCCCACTACTGACCAAAAAAAAAATTATTCTCTGAAGTCTGTAACATATTTACTCCAAAACTTCACGGACATAGCAATAAAAAAAGAATTATGGAAAAAGTTATTGACAATGATGCAAAAACTCTCAAGATCCTTGGAAACCAAACTCACCAGCATATTAGAAATATCATATCAAGTTGGTTTCATGTCAGTGTACAAAAAGTAATGCCATATAAACAAGATCAAGAATGGTTGAACAAGTGGATGTTTCAACTGATGGAGAAAACCTTTCAGAAAATTAATCATTCTGGAATGATAAGAGCTTTGAAGAGATTATGAATAAAAGCAATGTACTTGACATTAATAAAGACTACTGTGAGCCAACCTCTGGTCGCTCATGCCTGTAATCCTAGCTATTCAGAAGGCTGAGATCTGAGGATCACAATTCAAAGAAGCCCGGACAAGGAAAGTCTGTGAGACTCATCTCCAATAAACCACCAGAAAAACTGGAAGTGGCGTTGTGGCTCAAGTGGTAGAGTGTTCACCTTGAGCTGAAGAGCTGAGGGAAAGTGCCCAAGC